CAAACGTAGTAGGGTATCATGATCCTGAAGTTGTCCTGCTTGTAGGGAACGTACTTGATGCCGTAGACAGGAATCTTCTTGTTGGTAACCGTGTAGAGTTGTGGAACCGATTCTCCACAAGGTCGTAGCGGTAGGTCTGGTGCGTAGTCCTTCGGGCAAACGTGTGTAGACGCTCCTGAGTCGATCAGCAGGTGGTGGTATGACTTGAAGTTGGAGTACATGATGTAGTGTGTGATAGTGTTCTCAATCTTCTTGTTCCTTTGTTGTTGTCTGGCTGCTGCTATGTCGAAGTGTAGCTTTGTGGTGTCTTCTTGTAGGAATTGTTGAAAGCTCTTGCTGTGGTCGTTCCATGATGTTGTGTGTGTTGTTCTCTTGCCAAGTAGTGATTTGGATTTGTGCTTGTGTAGTCGTGATTTTGCTTGTCTGATGTATCCAATGGTGAGGTGTGACTCGTTGATGCCTCCAATGTAGTTCGCTGTGTCCTCATAGCTGTTGTCATTCCAATCCCAGCTGTTGTCATAGTCGTAGTCGTTCCAGTTCTCCTCCATGTAGTTCACCTCGTGTTGTCCTTCTTCTCCTTCGTAGTACCAGTCCCAAGTGTCGTTCACATCCTGAGGTAGTTCTTCATTGTTGTCATGATCTGCTTGTTCTTGTTCTAGTGGATGTAGTTCTTCTCCTTCTCCTATGTGCCATACTGGCACTCTGCAGTCTTGTGCCCAGTGGCCTGGTTTGCCACATCGATGGCATGTTGTGTAATTGTTGTTTCCTTTTCCTTTTGATTTGCTGTAGTTTCCTTGGCCTTTGTAGCCTTTGCTTGATCCATGTCCTTTGGATCCTGAGTAGCCTTTTCCTTTGTTCTTGTTGTATCCTCCTTTGTTGTAGTTTCCTTTGCTGCCTTTGTCGAATCCTTTGTAGTGGCCTTTGCTTCTGTACTTACCTTTTCCTTTGTTTCCTTTGTAGTGTCCTTTGCCTCCATATTTGCCTTTGCCTTTGTAGTTTCTTCCTTTTCTCCAAATGTTGTCCACGTCCATCGGTGCTGTCCCACCATTGTAGTTTGTGCCAACTGCTGAGCTCGCTCTTGAGAATGCAGAGATTGTAGTAGTCCAGGATGACAACTCTGATCTCGTTGTAGTTCGTGATCTGTCCAGCACGTAGTTGGAGATGCTGTTGGAGTGCTCCTTTGGTCTTGTTGAGTAGTATTGCAATCTTTACTCCATCTGGTAGTGCTGTGCCGTTGTCTTTCTCGTAGCGGTTGATGTCGTATTCCCACTGTAGGAATTGTTCTTCAAATTGTGCTTCATTGAATGTAGGTTCCAGTAGTTTGGTGAGGTAGCCAACACTGCGTGTTCCTACTGGTAGGCTGAACCTGTTGTGCAAAAGCCGTAGTGTTTCACATCCATTGGCATTGTAGCGGTTTTGTCTAACCACTGTAGCTGCTGCTCCTTGGCAGATGTTGATGAGGATGTAGTGTAGATCTCGTGAGAGGTCTACTGCTTTTGCTGCCTGTGTAGGGTCGCGTATGTGTGCTCTGATGTCTGCATCTTCAATTTGTCTTGTAGCTGCTTGTGCTAGTTGTAGCACCATGTCGAAGTCTCGGTCGATAAGTCCGAGATATGCTTGTAGTTTGAACAGCCACTCTTCATACTGTGAGTAGTCACCAGTGAAGAACGGTGGTGGCAGTTTGTATTTGTGTAGCCTTTGGACGTCTTCCTGCTCCTGTGTTGTTCCCGTAGTTGTGGCTCCTATTGTCTCTTCTGCTGTGGGCCCGTTGTCTGCTCCTGTAGTTGGTTGTGCTGATGCTGCTGCTGGTTCTCCTGACATGTCGTAGTAGTTGGGCATGTTGGTTGCCTGTGCAGTTGTAGTACTTACTGCTGTTACTGGAGCTCCCCTATGTTTAGGATCTCAGCTCCGCTACCACGTTAAAATACGTTGATACTTTACTTCTAGTGCAAGTGTTGTTCAGTTATCACAAACACAAATGTAGTCAGCCAGCATGCACTCTTTTCCTGGTAGACTCAAGGCCTGCAGTCGGGTAGTGTACATCATGCATGCACAAGTGACAAGTAGTGCAACATGATATTTGACAAGAGAGAGAGAGAGAGAGAGAGAGAGAGAGAGAGCAGCTGCACTCTACTCGTTTTTTGTCCCCCAAAGTTTTTGTTTCCCACAAGCCAACAGCTAAGGGCTTGGGGTTGACGAAAACACGTTGGGTTGCATGTTCCCAGAGATCATGGCCGACACGTTTGGAGATGCCGCTGAATCTGGAACAGATGCGAACATCTGGAAAATGGCTTGGATGCGCTTGTGGATTTCACCCGCTCTTCCCCTGTGTAATAGACACGCAGTGACACGCATGTCAAAACGACACACGGGTGTTACTACAAAAGGCTCTAAGCGCAGACAAATGGGTATGGGAAAAGGGAAAATTCAACCACCAGGGGACCGCAGGTTTAGTTTTTGGTTTTGTTTATGATCCCATTTTGGGTACCCTTCCTCCCGCTCACATGGCACCTGAGGGAGGGTACCTGGAAGATCAGTTTCCTCTAGGGGCCGGGTCCGGAACGTCCGGTGCCATGAAAACCTGGGAGGGAGGGCACCGAGTTTTGACCCGCGGCCCCCTTATCGACGTCTCCAGGCCATGCTGGACTCGGCGGACGCCGAGAGCATGGTGGCCAGCTTCCGGCGGATGCTGCGGGGCCTTTGCGACGGGGACCTGCTGCTGGACAGCAACCTGAGGACCGCCCGATTTTTTTTCCCGCAATTGCGTCTGGAAGTTTTTTTCCCTGGCAGGCAAAGCATGTTTTTTTTTGCCCTTTCCGCGCATCCGTTTAATTAATATTTGGACCTGAATCGTAAGAGGTAATCCTGAATGCTGTTACGTGAAACGCTTAGCCTTTACCTAATGTGAAAATTGGAAAGTTGGACTACCCCAGCTTGAACAGCCCAGTGTTCTGAACAGGAGCCTTCTGAAGTGAGTTTGAGATGAGAGAAATGGACCAACACCTGGGTGTGGGAGGTTTTGGTTTAAAGGGAAGCCCTGAAAGGACCCCCTCCCCTTTTCGGCCCCCGCTATTTGATACATACCCACATGCCACCAGCGTTTCGGTGCTGTTTGAGGCCAGGATTCGGTTCTTACACGTCCCTTTCCGTTTGGTCCATTTTGGGGACACGTAGAGAAGGGATTCCCCGCCTGGGTGTGCCTTGTGTAGGGATCCCGCCCCCTGCCAAAAAACACCGAGAAGAGTAACTGAATCAAACACAACACACACAAAAAACCACACATGTGGTTTTCCTCTTGATCTCCCACTTACTGTAAGAACTAAAACACAACAACGACGACGACGACGACGACGACGACGACGACGACGAACAGTTTCACACCCAACTCCAAAGCTGACTGGCCCCCCTTCCCCCTTCACAGCACAATAGCAAGAAGAACAGCGGGTACCAAGTCTCCCTCTAAAGATTTGAGAGACGTAGAGAGCAGAACATCTCCTTGGGGCGCAGGATCCAGGGGGAGGCCCACTGCCTGAAGCATTTGCTCTTCAGCAGCACCACCATGCAGGGCCGCGACTTCACGGAGCTGCTGGCCCCCAGCGAGCAGGAAAGCCCGAGAAAACGCCCGAGGTTCGCGGGAGGTTTGGAGGAATAAGCCGGGAAAGGAAGAAAAGGGGGTTCCCCATGTGTGGGCGTTTTTCGCGTCTCCTTGCTTTTTTCTTGGGGTGGGGGGAGCCTTTTGGTTGGTTTTGAGGGACAAGCGCCCATTTCAAGGGTTCCCTTTTGAGAGACGCCCAAGATTTTTCCGCTGGTTTCGAAAAAGTTGGGCCGTGGGTTTTTTTCTTGAGGTTCAGAGCTTGGCCTATTGGACCCTTTCACCAGGCCCCGGCTATGGTGGCCAATCGCTTTCAGGTTGGGTGCCCCAAATGGCTTCGGTGTGTCAGCTGCGCGGTTTCCCTTTTTTCAGCCCTCCCAAGAAACCCGAGGGCCCTCGAAAAAGACCATCACCCCGGGCTCTCCCACTCAAGGAGTTTCCCTGCACCGAGTCCTGTTGAGTCTTCATTCTCAGGGGGAGTCTTGGGTTGGGTGAGGCCTTTTGGGTTGAGGTTCTTCACCAAGAGGACATCCAAAGGTTGGTTGGAAAAACAAATCTCCTGGGCCAATTCAAAGTGCGGTGTGAGAGATTGGAGGGGGGGGTCGAGCAAAAGGTCCTTTCCATGGGATAACCATTGGGGAAAACCGCAAAAAAGATGATATTTCAACCACGTGGGACAAGTTACGCATGGCCAGAATTGGGGGGCCCTAAAGGGAGTATGGATCAACCCCCTCCGACTCCGCTCCAGGAGCGGTTCCGAGCCTTTCTTGAGGCCAAAGCGGGTGAGACGCAGGCCGGGAGAGGGGTGGTGGAGGTGAAGAGCTTCGGAGGCTTTACTCCACGCCGGGGGAGGGAAAAACAAACAAACAACAAAAACAGGAGAGGGATAAAAAACAAAACACAACAGGAGACTTGTTTGATCCACCCCCAGTGGGTGGGTAGGTGTCATCCGGGCCAACTGGACGGTTCCGTGTTGGTGGGTCGTAGGATGAGACCGTGCGAGATGGCCTGGGGAAGGAGGAGCTGGTGACTTAGACGAGTGGTTTTAGCACACACACACATGCATATATATATATATATATACAGTCATTTTATGACGAAAGAAGGAAAGGCAGTTCATGGGGGGGAAGGCCTGACCATGAATATATATATATATATATCAATATGTCTATATTTATCTATATGCAAATATACGTGTACACACGCATGCACGCACACAAGCACACATCATATAGATATATCATACACATACATGCACACACGTATGTACATATGTAAAAACAAAAGAAACATAAGTATATATGAATATGACAAATGTAGATCTGTACGCACACATCTGGTGCACGGTCGACTCACCTGAGACGCGCAGGCGGCCCCGCCCTGCCTGCGCGTGTCTCTGCGCGGGTCCATGGACACCCGGGTGAGCGCGGACGTCTTCCGCGTGCCCGTGGCCGGGCTGATGGGCGCGGAGCACCCTTACCACTTGCTGGCACTCAAGGAGGACTCCGAGGACACGTGGGCTGGGGGGGGGGGTGGGTGGTTGGGGGGGTGGGGGGGGGTGGGTGGGGGTGGAGGTGGAAAATGGAGGGGGAAAAGGGGGGGAGGATAGGTGTGGGTGGGATAAAGCTGCGAAGGAAGCTAAAGTGTCCAAGCTTTGTCGTTTGTGACTGTTTGGCCGGATCTTTGGATTTTAACGTTGTTGGTTGAAACGGGTCGGATTTTCCATTGGACCCACAAAAGTTGAAACAGGAACCAAGCTTCTTCGTCTTTGTCCAACGGTGGCTAGCCAAAATACAAGTTCAATCTTTCGACACTGGGATTCGAAGCAGATGGTGCGAGGCAGTATGCACAAATTTGGCCCTTGCAGCATTTTGGCCCGGCAAAACGGGGACTCAACACCAACCGTGGGGGCGTGGTTAACGTGCCGTTTCAAGAGGACACTGGTCTTGTCATAGATGTGCACTTTTCTGGGTGGAACGACGGCAACTTTTGTTGCGGGGGGCTTGCTTCACTTTTTTTTTTTTTGAAGGGGTGTCCTTTGGACCTGTAGCTGCCATTGCCCCCGCAATACATGCAAGTCTGCGGTGCTTGGAAGAGATGGGTTGCCTGTTGAGGTTTCTTTTTTTGTTCTTTTTTTTTTTTTCTCAGAGGGGGGTTGCTCCAGTTTTTTCAGGGGCCGGGGACTTGCCTAGCGTCGTTTTGATGAAAGGCGGTGCACATGGTCTTTCAGTTCCTCAATCCTGACTTCACCATGCTTGATCTTTGTTGACCCCCCCCCCCACCAGAAAGAAGTTCCAAGTCCCCCCCTCCCCCCCACCCCAGCGTGAGGAGTTTTTTTGTCCGACTGGGTACCCCAACCCAACCAATTCACCGATGAGGAATTTGGTCAGACCGGGTGTCACACATCTGCCGCCCCGAAAAACAGGGCTCCTTAAAAGATACCTTTTGCAACCATTTGAAACATGTGGCTTTTTCCACCAAAATAAAGTTGGAAACCCACCATTTACAAGTTGCAATCCGGATCCCTGTTTCCCCGGTAATGTACCCCAACCCAATTCACCGGTGGTCGGATTTTTTTTGGGTCCGACCGGGTGTCACACATCCGCTGCCCCGAGAAATCGACTCCAGGCCAACCTCCCGGAAGTCGAGCCGGTGCCGTTAGACCTCGGCACGCGGAAGCGCCTCGAGCGGAAGAACCGTTTTTTTTTGGGGGGGGTTAAACCAGTTGGTGTTTTTTTTGGTTGGTGTGTTTTTCTTGGTTGAATTTTTTGGGGAGCTTTCGAAAGGAGCTTTGTTCATCACGAATCAGCGTGACTCTGGATCCCCCCCCCCGCTTGAAGTGAACATACCGGTGAAGGAATTATTGCTTCGGCATGAGCTCTAGCATGGTGCGCCCCATGGCCTCCTGGCTTTCTGGCAGAGCAGCCAAAAAAAATGTGTTGAGAGGAAACCTGAGAAGGTTCCATGTGAATTTGCAAAGGGGTAGCACTTGCCAAAGTGTTCAATGAAAAAGACAGGGCCAGCGGCAATGGTTGGTGCATTTGTTCAACCACTTTTGGAGAAGAAGAAAAAAGAAAGAGACGTGGCAGCGAGGACTAAAACATCCTCCCGGCAAACTCCAAATGATCGGTTTTACAGGGTACCGCAAAGGAATTTGTTCGCGCACTGCTCAAAAATGCAACGACTTCAAGTCCCCCCCCCAAAAAAACAAACACCACCAACATTCGGAGATTTAGTGAGAAACCAAGCGTTCGGGCTGTTTGATGGCACCATCCATTCCAGAAGTGGCCCCTTGGCCCTCACTGAAAGGGAGTTGCATGACTACGTTGCCGGGAGATTTCTTCTTGGTCTTTGGTTCGGCCCTGACAATGATGGTTTTGCCACAAACTTGTAAACTGGACTTTCAACCTTTTGCAGCGGTCAGTTAGGCCCACCTAGTGTGTCTGGCTTGGCACCAATGGGAAAGCAAATTGAGATGGGTTTGAGAGAGGGCTCGGATGTGATCGGATGAGAGAGGGCTCGGGATGGCCAAAGCAGGGGAAATACGATGCAGTCAATTTCAGGTACCTCCCTCCCCAAAACAACCTCATCGGGCAATGTCACGACTCACTGGACAGAAGCACCGCTGGCTGCAGAAGGAGTGACACGCCGACGGAGAAAGGGTGCAGTATGACCAAGAAACTCGAAGTATGAACGCCAAACCGCCGAAGACGAAAAGGGGGGGGGTACGGTGGATGGACGAAATCCTGCATCACCTACAAAATTCTGGACTGATGTTTCCCCTGAGCATACCAACAATGGAATTAAAACCATGGTTTCCAAAACGTCCTGAAAAGGGTTTCTCAAAAAGTAGCGCGAAATGTCGTCCACCCAGATGTCAGGATCCTTGCCTCGTGCTTTCCGCGCCTCGGCCATTGGCCTCGCGCTTTTCGCCGAGGGCCAAGGGCCGCTGCCGCAGCTCGGGGAGCTCCCGGAGCTCCCGGTCCCGGTGTCGCTCCGGGCCTTTGGAGGAGATGACGCCCCTTGGGAGCCGAGCGCGTTCCGAAGGGCCGAAGGGGGCAGTCTGGTCTGGGCCGGGTCCCGCAACCCGAAAATCGCCCCCCCCCCCAGTGTATTTTTTTGGAAAGGAAGAGTACGAGCTTTTTTTTTTTTTTTGGGGGGGGGGGGGTCAATTTCTGGGCAAGGTAGGGAAAAGTCTTGGTAGATTCTTGGGGGATGTTTGGCGATGTCTTTGTGGATGTCTTCTGCGGTCGTCTTGAATGATGTCTTTCAAGGGTCTTTGGGGGCTCCGAGGGTGTTTTGGGAGCCTTTCATTTTTTCAATGGACTTGGTGATGTCTTGACTTGGGGGAATGTCTCTGAGGGGTGATGAGGGGTGGTCTTCAAAGATGGGGATGCCTTTGGGATGCTTTCGGGACATCTGAGCGGTATTCCTTCGGGGTGTCTTCAGGGAAGTTCTTGGTTTGTCATTGCGGGTATCTCCGGGGCGTCTTTCGGAAGATGTCTTGGGGAGTGTCGCGGAAAATGTCGTTTGCGATTTCTTTGCTGGATTGTCTTTGGAGGACGTCGTTGCGCTGTGTCTTCTCGGGTGGCTTTTGTCTCTGTGACATATCTTTGGACATTCTTTGGGAACGTCTTCCGCAGTGCTTTTTGGGAACTTGGGGATGTCTTTGGGGCTGACTTTGGGTCTATGTTGGGGCGCCTGCGGGGATGTCATCGGATATGCTTTAGGGCATGTCTTTGGGATCGTTTTGTTATGTTCGCGAGGATATCTTTGCGGATGGTTTTGGACCAGTGCTGAAGACTGTTTTTGTGGACTGCTTCTGATAGGGTGTCTTTCTAGTCATGATGTTCTTGGGAGTGCTTTGGGGTTGCGTATTTCTGCATTCGGGTTCGTGGCTTTCAATCGAAGAATAGGAGGGGTGGGGGATTGAGTTTTCCTTTAATGTCGAGGTTTTGCAAGGTCTTATGTTTCTGCCCAGTAAAATACAGGGTTGTGGGATCAAGGGGTTTATCCCCACTTCTATGACACAAGGGAATCCCCTCTTGGTTAGTTAGTCTTTGGGAGGCCCTTGTCACAGAAGTGGTCATTTCCCACAGCCCCCTGCACCAAAATGATGTGGGAGTCGCAGGCAATCGCGTGGCTCGGACTCAAAACGAAACACAGCATGCTGGGAGGCTGATGCTCAACATGAACACGGCGCACTATGAGGCAAGAGTCAGGGGCCACTAATTTTCAAGGTGAGTTTCTGAAGCGAGTGCGTCGAAAGTTTCGCGCTAGGACACCTCGACCTTGTTTTTCAAGTCAATGCATTTTTTCACGGCCCAGAAGACGCAGAGCCATTTTGACACGATTAGGTGTCAGCTTTTGCTTGCTGTCCTCTGCTTGCGAATTCGAATGCCGTTGCAACAGATACGAGACAATGTCCGGGGCACAGCCAAAAGTGACTATTTGATCATCTTCGAAATCGGTCTAATTCGCTTTCGCAATGGCTACAGCACATTAAAAAATATGGCTATTGTATAGAGCCTTGAGATAACAGTTTGATGCCAAAGGTCAAAAGAAATGTGTGTCTGTTGCAGACAACTGACCTTCTGGCGAAAATTTTTCACGCATGTAATATGCAACATCGTGCCTCAAGAAGTCAACAAGAACTGATCTCGCGGGGATGTCAATTCTTGGCAGTATCGTCGTGCCGTCGGTGGTTGCGAATGTGGTTCTTGATCATCGCTTGAGGAAACGGATCATAGTTGTTGGCCTTCAGCGCCGCTGCCCGTGGTAATAGTAGCTCTTGCTGTAGCTACTCTCGGATGAATATCCCTCAATCCAGCTCTTTCTGTAGTCTTTCCTGACCTCTATCATTGTAGGTTTTGTTGTAGCCCGGTTGGTTGTAGGAGTGCCACTCCTTCTGCCTTTGGTCAAGCTTGTCCCTTGTTCGTGGCGACTGGTACGCACGGAGCAAATTTCAGTTTACTATGGTGGGTGCAATGAACGCCCCGCCATATTTTTGAAAGAAGGGCCGTGAGCCACAATGTCACATGTGTGAGAAGTGATTTCCAGAAGACCAGTGATTTGCAAAACGCAGAACAGGGGTGAGGTTCCTTGTTTTGTTGGGTTCCCTTAAGAGGAACCCACAAGGTGACGAGTGCAAAGGGAGTCATTCCTTTATTTTGCCTGCTGGGAACTAGCAAGCCTTTGGCTTTTCGTGATGATGTGTGTTGCCCTTGTGTGGACGAAATCCTTGTCTGGGTGGTGGGGAATCTCGTCCACCCACAGTAGCACCAGTCGCCAACAGGAGGGAGTCAGCTTGTTGCGCCGGGTTCTGTTTGTGAGAGGTGGAGCAGGCGCACCTCAGCTTCAAGAGTGTGGCAGAGACGCCCACCCTGCGGAAGCTGGTGCGGCCCACGGACTGGGAGACGATCCGGGAGAGACCCGGCGGCTTTTTTCTTTTTTTTGGCACGCGGGGTTGGGCTGGAGGACGGGGAAAGCACAGCAAATGGCTGCTTTGAGAGTAGGGAAATATACGAGGGTGGGAATCAATTGAACCTGTTGATCTTAGATCTGAGCTTTTAGATGGTGGCTTCCTATTCCAAGAGAACAGGAATATTTCTCCCACTGCTCGCCTTCGCGAAAATGAGCTGGCTTTCCTCTTGATTTCCTTTTGGGCGGCGCTTGGCAAGGCACCCCAGGCAAATGCACCAAGGAACCTGGCGCAGATCTTCTCCGCGAAGGTGAAGCCCAAGACACTCTCCAACGTGCGCCTGCGCTACCCCGGAAGCTCCGGGTACCTCTTGGCGCAGAAGGCGAGCCGGGCGTTGGGGACGATGGGGACGAGGGCTCTTGGGTGGCTGCCGCGATTTTGTTTTTGTGTTTGTTTTTTGTTTTTTGTTGGTTGTCAAAGGAGAACAGCGAATCCTAAAAATGATGCGCCCTCTGGCCAAGTGAAGTTCATGTTCAGACATGAATTTGGCTTAACCCCGGTTGAACAAAAAAAGGGGGGGCAATGGAAGTGGGGCAACTCGAGGGCCCTTTTAAGAGGACTGTCTAAGATCCGTCGGTTTGCGTGGGGATTCGCGGCCGGAAAGGTGAAGGTGTCTGTCCACACGTCTCACGCTGGGTCCAAGCTGCGGCTCCACTTCCAGGATTTTGCCCAGGAGACCTCGGAGAGGCAGGGAGGGCAGCTTGGGTTTGGATGGTTTGTTGCGAAGGGTGCGTTGGGTTTGGGCGCGGTTTTGGCCTTTGTAAGAATAGCGACAGGCCTTTCCTCCCCACTGAGACCCTGCAAGCAGCAATCTTGTGCCTGAGGTTAGCTGAGCCCCCCCTTGCCCACGAAGACCGTGATAAAGGTACCGTTTCCATGACCTTTTGCGGGCACAAAGGAAAGACTACATGGAGGGGGGCTTATCCCACGTTTTTTCACCTGTCAGGGATGCCTTCAATTTTCGCAACAGGAGCAAGGACCCAATCGTAGGCACGGCGGTTTAAGGTGCTGGGGTTGAGCAACATTCCTGGTCCCCAAATGACCACGGGTAGGTTTCCACAGAAATTGGTGAAAGTCATTTGGGTGGTTTCACGCCCCACATGGTGGTTTAGTTGGGGAATAGGGCCCCCAACCACCTTATTTCAGGTTGACAGCTTGTTCTAGGCTCAAGGATTTGCCCTCGGCATTGAAGATCGACCAACTTTTGCATTTGAGAACCTGGCCAGCCCCTTTTGATCCGTGGCCACACGTAAATTCAATTCCCGCGCTTCCGAGGCATATGCGGGATCTGGCCTGCATCGCCGAGCGCGTGAGCGAGCGCGGCTCGAGCCGGCGGGAGGTTTTGTGTCCTGAGCCTCCGCCAGCACCCAGGTCCTAGCTTTCTCACACTCCAGAGTATTTGGAGTGAAGAGGGTGGCCCCTGAAAAACCTGGATCTGTTTTAATTTTGCCGCCAGGGTTTTGGGGGACGCAAGCTGTGACTTTGGGAGTCGGATGTACCCCGTGGATGCTTGTGGGCCCCGAGAGGGAAAAAGGACCACCCCGCGGTCCGGGAGTTGGGACTTGCTTTCTTCGGGGCTTCGGGGCCTAGCAACCCCCAAACATGGAAGTTCCCAGGACCCCTGTGGAAGACTTGGTTCCATGTAAGGCCTTCTGGGAGCTTCCATGTTAGCCTGAGGGAGTGTAGCAACCCGGTGGGCCTTTGAAATGCTGTGCCATGTGGCTGCGAACCTGGATGGGCCAAAACCTCGCTGCAAGTCTACAGGGTCTTCCCCAAAGTTCATAGCCCCGCACGGTGGCAGCTCAGCGAATGTGCGCGGGGCGAAGTTTCGCGATTTTCCGCCTGAGCGACTCCAGATGGGCTGCCAGGTTCCACGGGTTTATGTCCAATGAGGATCTTTGTTGGATGTAGGGAAGCCAACAGGGAGCAATCATCAGCTTCCTTGCAGTGTGTGGTTTGGATTGGTGCCAGTTCCGGGAATATCGGGAACCTGAAGGCAGCTTTCACACCAGTTGACTACTCCTATGAGTCTTTCCGAGTCTATTTGGTGCAGACCCCGCTTTGCGGCGAAGCTATGTTGCACCGCGACTCAAGCACGAGAACCCACATGACATGGTGGCAAAAGAGGCTTTGCGGCATGGCGAGGCCCTACCCACCGGAAGCCCTTCATGCGTTAATCACCCAGCACCCCAAAGGCTAGGGCTGCCTGAGTGCTAACGCAGCCACCAGCTCAAAGAGTCCAACTTCCTCCCGCTTCTTCCCTTCCCTTCTGGCTCCCGACTCCTTGGCTCAAGATGCATTCTTTGCTTCTCCCTAGTGCTGCTGTTTTTTCCCCAAGGACCAGTCATGAGTATTCATAACTGGTATGTAACTATCAACTCTCCCCGCACATGGGGGCGATGATCAGCAAGTTTTCTGTGATACGGATTGTCTCCTTGCCGGCAACGAGTATGGAACAGATTCCCAAACAAGATAACCCAAGCACACAGAAACAAAGACAGACAACCCGATGCGAGCGGCTGTTTCTGAAAACGCAGACCCGTGGCAGGTTTTTTGTTCTTCGATTTCCGGGGTTGTGGATTTTGTGTTGGGGATCTTGTTGTTGGCGTGTTTGTTTGCTCACTTGCTTGCGTTGCTTCCTTGCTAGCTTCTTCTGTGCTTGCCTGCTTGCCTGCTTGCTTGCTTGCTTGCTTGTGTGCTTGCTTGCTTCCTTGTTTCTTTGCTTCCTGGCTTCCTTGCTTCCCTTGTTTGTTTGTTTGTTTGTTTCTTTCTTTCTTTCTTTCTTTCTTTCTTTCTTTCTTTCTTTCTTTCCTTCTTTCTTCCTTTGTTTGTTTGTTTGTTTGTTTGTCTGTCTGTCTGCCTGGTTTCGGATGGTTATGGTTGGTCGGGACTGTTTGTTTGGGTTGTGCTTAGTTCACTTCAGAGGCGCAACTGGCATCCTCGTAGGCTGTCGGTTTGGCCCTTTTGCGGATCCATGTGCCCGGTTTTGTAGGTATCCCAAGGGGAAACCCGCCTCTAAAACCCAAAAGGACGATGGCTGGTTACCTATACGGGTACCTCGGATCTGGGTATGGTTTTTCTTGCCTCTTCTATTCACCCATCCATGGGTGCAGACCATCCATTTCTCCACTGGTGGCCTGTCGTTTTGGGCCTTCTTTGGTTGAGACATCCTTTTGCCAGACCGGCCCAGCCATTTCCACAGTGTTGGCTTCTCGAACTGGTGGAATCTTTTGGCTAAAGCTTTACTAACCACGAAAGATGAATGACTCAATCTAGAACTATCAAACGAAATGCTTAAAGGCCAACTCCTCAAAAGCAATTTTCTTCTCGCACCACCCAGCTCCTCCTCCTCCTCCTCCTCCTCCTCCTCCTCCTCCTCCTCCTCCTCCTCCTCCTCCTCCTCCTCCTCCTCCTCCTCCTCCTCCCCCCCCACCCCCACCCCCTCCCCCCTCCTCAGAGGGCCTGGGCGCCCTGGCGGCGGCGGAGCTGCGGCGGAAGGAGCGGCACAGCGAGGAGCAGCGCGCGGAGCGGGCGGAGGTCACGGGCACCTCGGTCGGCGCGGGGAGGGGAGGGGGGGGGGGGGGCGGGGAGTCTGGCGGCCTGGGACTCGACTCGACAATCCCAGATGTTAATCCCGGATTTTTTAAGCCCCTCATTGATCCATAGGAGTCCCCTTTTAGTGGTTGGATTCAGACCACTGTTGGAAGGGGTCTCCACCCCCCCAAAAAAAAGCGAATGGCACGGGTTTCATCCTGGGTCAACAGAACCTTCCGGGGCTGGGGGCCTGGGACTGGAGGTCGTCTTGTTGGGCGGGCCCCCCTCAGCACAGGAGAAGCCACACACTAGTAGAGACCCCCAGAGAGCGAAAGGCAGGGCGATGAATTTGCACACCAGCACAACCTCAGAGTGGAAATAAGAAGAACCAGGTCCGGGGGGTTGAACGGTGTTGGAGAGCCGGTCGGCTGGTTTTGGAGCCCAAAGAAGAAACACGCCTTGGCGGGGGGGTTGGGGAAGTGGGGTTGGAGGTGGTGTTTTCTGGGGTGGGGGGGGGGGGGGCGGTTTTCTCGCGTCACCTGGACAGGTCGCAAGAAAAACACGTGTTAGACGAGGAAGGGTTCTCTGGTGCTCAGCGGCTTGGGCTCAGCGGTCGGGTGGTAGCGCGAGCGTCTTCTGCTCCATGGCGCCGGCGTCGCCGCCGCCGTGGCTGGGGCAGCTGGGGTACAGGTACCAGGCGGGGAGCTTGGACAGGGAGGGAGCGGGAGAGAGGGAGAGATGGAGAGAGGGAGGGAGGGAGGGAGAGGGAGGGAGAGGGAGAGGGGGGGAGGGAGGGAGAGAGGGAGGGAGCAGAGAGAGGGAGGGAGCGGAGAGAGAGAGAAGAGGAGCCAAGCCGCCGCCGAGACAGGGGGTCCAATTCTACAACGACCAACAGTGGTTCACCTTCGAGTTTCCAAACCACCCCTCCAAGCTCTACGTCGCGAATCTGCCGGACTGGTCTCAGACTGTGCCGGGAACCTCAGGGTGCCATGGGTGCTGTCAGAGGGAGTTGGCAAGCCACCGGCGGGTGGGGGGTGAACGGTCCCGTTTGGGCTGATCTTGGTTCACAATGGCCCGGAGAACATGAGGCTGAATAAGTTATTTAGCGTCACGGGACCCCACACCCCTTCTAATCCTTTAGCTCCTTCTATCATGGCTGGTCTTTGGTGGGTGTGACCTTCGCCACTCAAATCTTCTGGAAACAAGTTGCGTTTCCATTCTGCTGCTGTTGACTTTAACTTGTTGGATTCCCCGCATATTTCTTTTTAACCAGCAACAAGTTAAGCACCCAAGCATAAAACCTACAAAAGGTTAGACCTTTTGCTCAAGCGGAACGAGCAGTCCAGCGATTAGGTACGAGAAGATCCGATTGGTGGACACTGGCGGCATTGACTACTGGCAGGGCGGCGTGCACTACTGGCACAGCAAGGCACTTGCGCGATCGATCGCAAGGGCGGGCCATTTTTCTTCGGTGTGTGTGTGTGTGTGTGTGTGTGTGTTTTAAAGGGTTGGGGGGGGGGGCTGGCTAAAGCATCCCCTTGGAGCTACGCTTGTGTGGGTTTGTTCTCATGGGGCTCACGAATCTCCCAGCGAACGCGCTACCCACCAGAAGGCCGTGTTTGTTTTTTCCGGCAGCCTCAAAGGCTTGGGGAGATGAATGGAAACTGGGGACGGATAAGGAGCCCTGTGTGTACACTGGTTTCTCTGCACTCGGGCGGGTCTGCCAAGGCATGCGGTGCCGCGAATTGGGCATGAACTTGGTGCAAGAATACTCCAAAATAGATGCGGTGCTTGGGACCCGGTCCGCTCATCCCACTTCCTGACTTGAGGTTTCCATTTCCAGGGAATTCCAGAGATTGAGCGCCGCGCTTGCCACTCAGCCCATCAACTTGGCGAGCTCAACCCGCAAATCCCGAATAGCCGGCCCCTTGTTATATATATATAATTCCCCAACAGCTGAAAGCTTTGGGGTCTCAGCCCAGATACCAGGGTTCCACCAGGGTTCCACCAGGGTTCCACCAGGGCCACGAGGTTCTGCGAGGGCTGCGGGGTGGTGCGAGCACTAAAAGAGCGCCGCATGCTGGAATATCACCTGAGCTTTTTGTTTTTTCCGGTCACCCCCCCATGGCCGGCCCTGAGCTTCCGGGATCCGCCCAGAAAGCTTCTCCGCCCCTCCGCGGCGGCCTCTCAGGTGCTCTTCCTACCGGAGGTGGAGGATGGTTCGACGAGCGCGGGCGGGGTGGAGGTGAGCTTCGGCTCTTTGGGGCGGAGGTTGCGTGGGGCGCAGGAGGAGTTCGACTACTCCCAGGCGGGGCAGGTGGGGGGTGAACTTTCCAACTACTGGGTGACAGGGAAGCCTCTCGCTCTTCAACGGCCATGCGCCAGGGTCACACACACATTTGTAAAGTGTGTTGTAGTATTGGGAGGGTTGGGAGGGGATGGCGATGGGGCTGGGCAGGGAGCAGCTGGCGCTGTTTTTTTTTTTTTGGTTTGTGCATCTAATAGTCTGATTCCTGGAGTGCGCCATGGGCGGCGTTTTCGGAGTTTCCGGGGCTTTGGAGGGAGGCGGCAAGCGTCAAGCCGGCCTTGGGAGGTTGAGATCAAGAAGGCATGGCAGTTGCACGCGGCCGCTCGGCGCGAGATCTTGGCACCTCGCAAAGTTTGGACGTCCTCAGGCAAAGCTCCATCGTTTCAGAGGCTTCCCCGCACACTCACCCTTTGACCAGACCCCCATTCAAGAATCGAACTACACGTCTTTCCTCGTTGAAGGCTTTCTTAGTTAACTTATTTTATTCTGGAGCCTTGATGTTGGGTATGACCGAAGAGGCCTTGGTTTCGCCATGTTTTTTTTTTGGCACCTCGGACACCAAGGAGAACTGGGGGGATGAGAGTTGGTACAACCTGCAGCACACCGCCCGCCTGGCCTCGCCCATGTCCTACGACTCTGTGGTGAGAAAGGTGGCAGAAATGGCCTGGGAGTATCCTTTCTTCACCTGGGACGAAGCAGGCGCGGCCCGCCGGGTGGGGGGCGGAGAAGAAAAAGGAGTTGGAGCTTGAGGGATGTTGGGCGGCTTTAAGGGACGTTGGAAGGAAAGAGCCGCTGCTTCTTGCGTGGTTCTGCTCGTGTTTTGTGGGCTGCATGTTGGCTGGAATTGAGGCTGGGAGGCTTTGGATCGCTTGCAACGCCACCACTACAAACTACCAAAGCAAACGGCCCGCAAACAGAAGCAGCGTGCAGTCCGCCAGAAGGAAAGGGACGCCAAACCCAGCACCACGCACCAAGGCGACTCCCCTGCACGCCCCAGGCACCTACCAGAAGCTCGCCGAAGCCAAGGTCCGGGAGTGCCACTGCAGGCCAGCAGGGGGAGGGCTGTGCGCGCTTCCATTTGCTTAATTCGCCTTATCTTCCCCTGTTGGCTTGAAAGGGGATGTATCATTCTTGGACAGATTTTTGCACTTTCTCCCAGGGCGCAAGCTCGAGCCGGGGAAAAAACCCGACGGCCCGTTTCAGCGCGCCCGAAGAACCGACGCGCCGCCGCGCGCCAGGATTTTCGCGGACCGACTCCTCGAAAGCGTGGCCTCGTCGGAGGAGGTGGCCGCGCTGCCTAAAGACGCCTGGCTGATTGGGGGTGTGCCTTGTTGGAGGGCACTGTTGTAGCGCCTTTTTGTTTGATTTGTTTGGTGTTTGTTTATTTTAGTTATTTGTTTATTTATCTATTGAGTTATTGAGTTATCAATTGGTTATGTATTTATTTGTTTTCTTTCATTTCTGTTTTTTTGGAGGGGTGCTTTGACTTTGACGGAGAACCTGGTGCAAACCAGAGCTTAGAATTGAATCGCGTGTCGGCGCCGTGGGCCCTTGCCCCGGATGAACTGCTGGTTTCTCAGCTCCTGGACATTGGGTGGAATCCATCCCTTCTTTTTTTTCTCTCTCCCTCAAATGACCACTTGTGTGCAGATGAGGCCAATTCATTTGGAGGGCGAGTCCAGTTCTTTGTGAAACACCCCCCCCAAACCCGTTTGGCCCAAAGCTGTTTGGCTCCCTTAGGACATGGACTGCGGGTCCCGTCTTCCGCAGACCCTGCGGGCCGCGCGGGCGAAGGTGGCGCCCTCGCAGGGCTGCTGCCCCTGGCTGTGGCGGCTGACCTCGAGGCTGAAGTCGGTGGAGCAGCTTCGCCGAGAAAGCGGGGCAAAGCGGCTGTTTCGTTTTTCTTCTTCTTTTTTTTCTTCTTCTTTTATTTCTTTCCTTTTTTTAATCCACACACACACACACATATATATATATAACACAGCTTTATGGCCATTTGGTTGGATCTTTGAACACCTTTTTGAGAAACAGGTCGGATTTTCCACTGGACCTGGAGAGGGGTCAACAGGATCCAAGCATGTTCTACACTGGCGCGCCCCGTTTCATTTTTCGACCACGCCCTGAAACATGGGCGGAGTGTCGGCTTTGGACTTTCCATTGTGGGTTACGTTCGGTTTGTGAAAGACCAGCCAAGATGCAACCTCTCCCCCGTGCAGGGCAATTTTGGTCAAGGCAACATAAGGCAACCCCAACAGAATATATGATATCTACTTATATTTCCGTATGCTTAGGTGGCAACTGAGGTGAGCCCATAGTGCATTGGCCTGCAGCATGCGGCGTGCGACAGTCGCTCGCCGGCGAATCCGTGAAGCCCTCGGACCTCCCCACCGCGCAGCCACCACCCGGCGAGCACGGCCCGTCGCTCCTCGGATGCCCTGCAGCCGCACCGCCCGGCTCTTCAGCGTCAAGAAGACCACGTGCCTCCAGCACATGGCGCCACAGGCGGCGGCATTCGTTCGCCTTGGGCCGAACGATGCCTTGGGCGTTTCCCAGGGATGAGGGCCGACGTCAGGGATGCTGATGGTGCGGCCGGGGAAGGATCGGTGGCGAAAAAGGCAGTGTGTGATTTGTGGGCTGGTGTGAAGGCAAGGGAGGGCAATTTGGGGAATCACGCGATTGTGGCTCCGAGGCCAGTGGGAGGAGCGCCTGGCCTGCGCCCAAAGCCGCGCCGCGCGCCTCGGCGCGGAGCTCGCGGAGGGCCAGGAGCGCCGCGCCGCGCGGCGTGCCGAGCTCCAGGCGGCCCAGGCGCGGCGCGGGACGTGGGGCGGGCGCGGGTCGCCGGGCGCGGGGGGCGTGCGGCTCGGGCGTAGCTGCTTGCCCCACAGAGGTGAGAATGGCCTCCTATGGGATGTTGGAAATGAATCGAGAACAGCTACGGAGCTTATGGTTTGTCGTTTGGTGGGAATACAACAATGATTTTAGACATGTTGGAGGCGGGGTAGGGTTACCCTTGTGAGAGGATGCCACATGGAGTTGACCCAGGTGGGTCAGTTGAATGGGAGAGCTGGTCTGAATAGCATTCGCTTGGTTTTGAGATACTTGCCTTTTTCTGTATGTTTCTGGTCGGGGGGGACGGGGGTTGTTGGCTTCCTGGGTTCAGTTCATTTTTGAGTGCGGGGCTGCAAGGAACATTTAGATGTTTGCTGACATTGCGAGGGATGGGCAGAAGCGATCATCGAGGGGACTCCTGTTGATGGAATGAGCTGCCCTGCTGCTGGGGTTGTGGAGGGTGGGAGTTGCATCATGTTGTCGGCCACCCCTCAAAAACGGGCTCCCCTTGAAATGCCGGCCACACCCCTTTTTTGAACCCCCAAAGCATACCCCCCACTCCTCTCCACCACTCCACGTTGAGTCTGCAGGCCATGGTCTCCTTGCAGCAGCGGCGCCGCGACCACGAGGAGCGACTTCAGTGGCTGCAACTGCAGGCGGTCGGGTCGCGCTGACGTGGGCAGCTGACATGGCAAGGGCGGGACAGGTACTCAGGAAGGGGTCTCTTAAAGGATGCATGAGTCCGAATTTGTTGGCGGTTTTGAACAAACTCACTTCCTGAGTTCCTGAAGTTTAAACTTTTGGGGAAGACCATTTTAGTGGTACATAAAAAGTTCGGACCTTTTTTGGCAGATCCACTCAGGAAGTGAGCAAAACCACAAGGAAACCACCATTTTAGGGGGTCCGGTTAGGAACAACGCACCCAAACGTATTTGGGCTGCAAATCACCCTCTTGTCTGTGTTTTATAGGATCCGAATCCTTGGGTGATGGTTGGATGTACCGGATTTTACCTGGGCAAATGAGGAACGAGCTCACCCGTGTTCCCATGCCTTGCCAGAGGATTCCTCATGTCCAGTTTGGGGATTTATGTCATTTCCTTAGACTGTATGGCCACAAGCTCGCAGTTGAACTAGTTCCCCAGGAGGACCCCTTGTGGAAGGGGAAATCCAGCCTGAATGTGGTTGGGGCAAATTTGGTTGAACCAAGAGCCTTTGGCCCTTTGGCCTCATGCTCCCTCCCGACCGCTTGGATCTCTGTGCAGGTCTTGCGGGCAGAGGTTTCCGAGATGGAGGAGTCTGACGCGGATTCTTAGATGCAACCAGTGCAAGGCTCCATTGGCCGCCCCTCCCTTGCGACATTTCCGACTTCCTGAGTTCATGAACTTTACACTTTTTGGGAAGACCATTTTGGTGGTAAAATTAAAGTTTGGACTTTTTTTGGGCCATCCACTCCACCTTGCTCGAAAGACTAGGGTGCGCTGCATCCTAAGCTTGTGCCATGAGGGGGGGCCTCCACATTGGTGCGGAGGCTGCACAAGAACGGATCAGGCAGCGTGTAATTGGTTGTTTTTGCCCACACGCAAGCCATAGACATAGGATCGCGCAAGTGTGACTGACGCAGACGTGCAACCGCGCGCCCCCCAGACAAGCAACCGCGCGGTCAAAAAGCCCCTTCAAACTGGGGCTCTGAAGGGGTTTGCGCACATGAAACCAGATCTGATCGGCCCGTTTTTTTCCACGGATCTCCTGCTGAACGCCTCAACCCCTCGGCTGGGGCCTGGGCAACCGGCGCAGCGCGTTCCGCGCCAGGCAGCGCAGCAGCGGCGCCGCGAGGCGCTGCTGCGGCGGGAGGCGCGGCAGCGGCGGGTTCGCCTGGAGCAGCAGCGCCGCGCCCAGGCGGCGGAGGGGGCTGTGGGTGGGTGGGTGGGGCGGGAGCCACCCGGATGGCGGTGGCTGTCAAAACCGTTTTGGGAGCGCATTTTGGGGTTTTCGGTGCACCACCCATTGTAGAACCTATTTATTTAGTGGGGATTGGGATGTTCACTGGGGGTAACCGGGATTTTGACCCATGGCCAGATGCCTCCGGCTGAGCTCCGAGAAAAAAGCAAAACGAGAAGAAAAAACATCGGGGGCATGGGGGGGAAAACACCGTTCACCGAGTTTTCTGCCCAACTTGGATTGGATCTCATTTGATATTTGGAACGGCTGCATACCCGCTACGCGCCATGCTAACTGAAGGAAGTGCTGCTGGGACATACTTAAAAAGGCAATGTTGGTCCCGAGTCAAAACCATCAGAAAGTCTAGTTTAACCCTTGGCTCATGGTGGCTTGACAGGCGGTTGGCTTGCCTCGCGGGTGTTGTGCCGCTTGAGGGGTGCTGGGGGTTCACCACAGACGTGGCGCCCTTGACAGGAGGAGCGAGAGGCGGAAGAGCGCAGACGACGGCGTGCAGCCTGTGGCTTTGATGCGAAAGGAGTTGTGCTTGCTACCTGGCCACCCTACATTGAGATCCAAGTTTGGATCCTTTTGTTTTGTGCATTCTCTTTTTCAAAGTCCTTTCGCAGAAGCTGAGAAAGCTCGCAATCAGGAGGTGAAGAACCAAGCGCCCGGTTTTTTCCTTGGGGGTTCCTGGTTCACCAAAAACGGCGGGTCCATGACCTCGGTTTTGCCCATGTCTTTCCAATAGGACTGGGGTCCCATGGAAGGGACGTGTGGTTTGAAGGGAAATCCCGCCGGCCAAAAGTACAGTTTTGAGACCCCCGTTGAGATGCTCACGGGAAAGAGTTTCGATTTCAAAATAGGAATGGGCCCCCCCAAAAGGCTTGGGTTCCTTGTGGCCCCTTTAAATACCATCGACGCTCCTCCAGTTCCAGGCAGTCGGGAGCGTTTGAAGGGATGTTTGATGAAGAAAAAACACTTCGAAGAGAAAGGCAAGATTTAAGCACCACAGCAGCTTGCCCTGTATGTCGCCAGTGGGTACAGTTGCTTGGCACCACCCACCAAACCGGGGTTGGGGGGCACCCACCAAGGGGGCCAGTATCGCACGTTTCTGCCAAGGCGAGGAGGCGGCGGAGAGCCAAAGCCTGGCGACGCCGCTCGGCCGAGCCACGTCTTGGGAGCCGCGGCTTACTTGACCGTTGGAGCCTTCCCATCCTCCAAACCGGTGTTTTGGAGCGCCGACCCTCAAAAACTCGATGTTTTCATTGCCACCTTTTTCTGGGTATAACAAACACCTTTTGGGGCGTGTGATCGGCTTCCCCAGGCAAACAGCAACCAAAAACTGTCATGTGGAACCTTCAGGTTTTCGTGTGGGCCCATCTAAAATCTGTTAAGGGTGACCGTTTTAGCTCAAGCTCTTCGATTTTCCCAGTTCCTTGCCCACTTCAGGCAACCAGAATCCACCAAGCAGCGACCCACTGCCGTTTCCGGTTCCATTTATGCTTCCATTGTCCCTTTCCATGGTAAGACTAGAGTCGACATGAACTTGGGAACCCGTTATCACACCCCACCCGCCTCCCCCACCCCCACCCACTTCCCTCCCTTGAGAAGGGGTGATCTCTCCGCCCCAAAGCGGCGTCCGCCCGCGGAAGCGGCAGGCTGCACAGCCTACAGCAGCAGCTGGCGGCGGAGAAGCAGCGGGCCAACGCCCGCCGCGCCGCGCTCCAAGGACAGCTGCTGCAGCTGCGCGCCCAGCGCGCGGAGCGAGAAGAGGCGGGGGGGGGGGGAGATGGAGGGGGGGCCTGCGAGCTTTCCCTTCCTTTGTTTTTGTTGAAGTCGTCGTCTTTTACTTATTTCCCTGGGGGGGCGGGGGTTAGCTTCTTTTTCTTCTTGGGCGTGCAGGGGGTTGGCTTCGGTCCTCGGTTTGAGGGTCCAGGTGGACATGTCCAACTCCCCCCTCCCCTTCGCCCCCTGCCCTCCCGCCCCCCCGGTGTTGCGAGGCCTGGGTTGCCTCCTCCGCCCACGGTGCCGAGCTGGCCGCAGCGGAGGAGTCCTACGCCCGGCGCGCGGCCGAGGCGGCGGCGGAGCGCGGCGCGGCGCGGGAGGCGGCGCTGGAGCGGCGGAGCCGGGCGGCGCCTGGGGTGCAGAAAATTAGTTTTCCGGCGGTTCCCAGTGGACTTGCGACTGTGCAACTAACATTCTCTGCACTTTGCAGGGATTTGCAGCAAGGATCTCCTTCAAAGGTGGAGATGAGGGGTGGGACGGGGATGGGGCTGGGTGGGTTGGGGCGGAACCAGAATCAAACTCCTCCAAGGGGATGAAGTAACAAATTGACATGAGGTGGGGGGGATGGGGTGGAGACACGATGGAAATTCTACAGCTCACGTGTTGAGTCTTCAGGCTTCAAGCGTCTTGGCGGCATACCGCGAAACACATCCTAGTGCAAAGGATGTTGCCTCTCATTTTGTTTTTAAAGATCGTGATGTCTTTGGCCTGCCTGCTTGGAGTTGGTTGACGCCCGTGGAAGGAAACGATCAGATGCTTCCCAGATGGAGATGTTGCTTTCCCTGGTTGGTGCCTCTCTCAAGTTTCACAACAACACACCATCAGACCATTGCCTTGCGCAACCTCCCAAAAATTCTTTCAGGGGGCCCACAAGTCCCACAAACTGGAGCTTTTGTCCCTTGTTCCACCGCAAAAAAAAGGTACCTTCAAGCCAAAGAGGCCACCCCCAAACCGATTTTTAGCCTTCGGCTCAGGTGCGGAAGCTCGAGACCCTGGAGTTCGCCGTGCGCGAGATGAGGGCGGCGGAGGAGGTGGAGCTGGCGAATCTGGAGCTGGCCGACGGGAGCGTTTCAGGGCTCCAGGGAGAGGCAAAAAGCGGAGCTCTGGCGCGGTGCCTGGGGGGGAGGGGGGCCTGAGGCAGTCGCGTTTGAGTTGGTTGACCCAGGCCCTTCGGATGTTGACAGGAGGAAGTGAAGTTTCTGTTTGGCACAGGTGAGCGAATTAGCTGCTGATGGGATGGGCAAATTGGCAACAAATGAGGTGTCCAAGCGCCAGCCAGTTCTGTGTTTTGTTTTGATCTTCCATTTCCCTTGGGCTTGCCAGACCCGCATTTGCGTGGCGTACGCGTATGACAGGGGGTAATTATCATATAGGGGGGTTAAAGTTGACGTACTGGCGTCGCAGAATTTGTTGTCTTGAGGGATGGATGTGGGCCCTGCGTAGGGGGGCTCCGACGGGCCCTTCCCCAAGGGCACAGCGTCTGCGTTGCCGATCGGCTCCCGATTCACGTTCTCATCTCCCATTGGCTGAAAACATGCAGGGAAGGTAATACTTGATAGCGGCCAGATTGGGCTGTTTTTGCTTGGCAGTTTTCAGGCCACCGTTACTTGGCTTGGATTGGTGGTTTGGGCATTTGCTCCTCTGGTTCTTATTTTGAGGTTAAATGGGAAGCTCCCCCCCAACCTCCAAACCAGCAGGCTCCAAGCCACCAATTGGAGGGAATCTGAAGTCCAACCTTTGGGGAGTGAGCTGAGGGAGCTTCATGCGAATGCGCGGCAACTGCTTGCCAGTGGCAGGACCCAATGCTTCTGCTGGGCATGGGCAGTATGGAAGGCAGCCCAGTGAGCGGCGGTGCTCTCAGTGCAGAGCTCAGCTTGCGCGAATCTTTGCATCCCCCCAAGTTCCTGGAATGCCCGTTTGCAAGGTGCACAGGGACACAATCTTACAACTATGAACTTGACGACGAGGTGAAATACATTGAATTTCGGGATCACCGGCATTGTTTTAAATTTATTTATTGGGGGGGGGGCAGCCAGTCGCCATGGGACCCAGTTGTGAAGGGAAGGCCACATGAGTCGACTCCTCGCTGCGCGAGCCTCGCGCCGAGGCTTCGACTCCCCGAAGGCCTTGGAGCTCAGCGGGGCAGCCGCGTGGCCGCAGGGCGCGGGTGGCGGGTGGGGCAGCCCTGTGTGGGTGCTGCTGGTGTTTACAAAGCGGGCCGGGGGGAAAATGAACGAAAAAAAGGGGGGGGGGGTCTCTAAAGCTGGTTGATTTTTTTGGCGCATTGCTTGTGGGGGGGGGGGGGGGAGTTCAATGGGGTATTGTCCGGAATCGGCAGCGTTCAAAGGGAAACCTAGACGAGCATGCTGTTGAAAACGATGGCCAGCCCCAACCTGGTATATTTCTCTTTTGATCCACATTTGGATCGCCCTTGGTCGATGCTTGGGCGAGTGCCTGTTGCCCGAGGTGGCTTTTTAGGTGTGCATGTATCAGGCCTTGCAAGCGGTTCTGCCGAGGACGACGTGCAGCACATGGAGGAGGCCGCCACCCTGTTGCTGAAGCACGCTGCTGCGGAGGAGGGCTTTGGCACTCAACTTGTTGGCATCGTCTCTCCCAGTTTCTGAAAGAAACGATGCCTGATGGTTTATTCAAGGGAATGCCAACTGTTGGTAGATGGCATCTATTCCTTGGAATAGTTCTTTTTAACTAGTTTCCCCTGTTGGTTTTAAAGGGAATCGACTTCACTGTTGTTGGACTTGTTTTTAAACAATATTTTTCCAGGGGGCTTAAGCAAATGGCGGGTTCGCTGTCCAGATCCTTCCATGCTGGAGCTTTGGGCTTCTTTGGGGCTTCAGGTTCTCAACCTCGGGGACGGCAAAGGGCAAGGTGGGTCAGGATCCCGACTCAACAGCCCAATAGTTTTAACACTTCCTGTTCCACGAGTGCCGATTTTGGCACCCCAGATCTTGCAACTTGGCCAGGAGTGGTCGCGTCGGCCGGGAGAAGCGGTGGCAGGGCAGATGCCTCCTGGCTGCATGATGTGGAGAAGAGGTGTGGAAGAATTCTCCGGCAGCATGCATGCTGTGAGCTAGAGAATGGGAGGGGCAAGGACGGCTTTGGAGAACTAGACCGGGGCGTTGAAGTCCAGCGGTGCGCCGTGACTGCTTCGCTGCCAGCTTTCTGGGCTCAAGTTCCGCGTCGCCTGGAATTCGCCGCGCTGGCGCGGCACCAAGGGCGCCCCATGCCGCGGTTTCGGCTGCTGTTCGTTCCACTGGCCCTTGGCCCTGCCCCAAAGAGGCGGCGGCCAAAGCGAGCGGCGGCCTTGGCCTTGGTGTGCTGCGTGCTCCTCTCGGCCTGTGCCTTTGTGGCTGCCGCGCAGCCACCTGCCCCAAGGGGAAGGCCTCGACGAAGGGATGGCGTAAAGAGAAGCATTCGCATGCCAACGGGCAACTTGCCGAATACTGCATGGTTTGCGAGTGGCAGGTGGGTGGTTTGTGCATTTGGCGGGCGCATCGTTTGAGTGGTGGCAGTAACGCTGGGAAGGTCTCGGTTTGGGACAACTATGCTGTTGGATTTGTACTCCGCCTGTGCAGGATACCATTTGCAAAGCTTTGCGCAGTCCCGGCTAGCGACGTTGCATTGTCCGGCGCCTTGCCGGCAGTTAGACCGGCTGGCAGCACGAAGGCGTTGCATTCACGTGTTTGTTCGCCACGGCAGCTTCCATTTGTTTCTGCGAACCGCCATTTGTACATAAACACAAAATCAACAGACAAATCACTGCCCTCAACTTTGGCGTGTGATGCCAAGGCCTGGACGCCCGAGATGTCGACTTCATGGAGCGCCTGCGTGGCCTGGCGGCGGAGGTGCTGGCGCTGCCGAACCTGACGGCCCACCAGCGCCTCGTCTGGGTGACCTCGCTGCGCCTGGACGCTGTGCCCGTGCAGGAGTGAAGTGATCGTGTGGCAGTGCGCGTCAGGGATTTGGGGCAGGTGGGTTTCAAACCTCCCTCCCCCAGCAAGTTCATTTGTATTCCGTTTCCGTTTCTTGTGGGGAGCAGTAAGGTTATGGAATCGGGGGGGGGCATCTCACCCTGCACCTTAGCCAGGAGGGTCAAGAGGTCGGCACAGCCAAGATTCCATTCCCGCTCGCTTGCCTTCAGCAGGAGTTGCCGCCGTGGTTCTGGGAGCGCATGAACGTCACGCGCCGGCCACCAGGCAACTGGGGTTGTGCCTTGGAGCGTTCTCAGGTTTTTGCTTTGGCAAGTGAGCCACATTGGGATAACACAAGCAATGCAGCGCCACTCTGCAGCAGCCCGTGCCTGGCAGGCGTCGACCTGCTGAGCCTGGACGGCCAGCGCGCCATCCGCTGCTGCGCGGAGGCGCTGGAGTTTCCGCAGGTGAGGCGCTTCCTGCGGCTGGCGCGGTGGGTCTACAAGGCGCATAGGGCCTTTGTGCGCTTGCTGTGCCACGCCGTGCTTCGCTGGCACATGTGTGGCCGTTGCCATTTTCTTGGTTTTTGCTCGGGTGTCAGTGTTGAGGTGCTAAGGCATACTGTAGGAGCAAGATGCCTGCCAAACGCCGTGAGGCGAGCGATTGCATGCTCGTGACGAACAGCACCAAGCTGCTGTCGCCGCAGTCCACAACGTGGCTCAGAAGGTCGAAGGCAAGGAGGAGGACGATGTCCGTAACTGCAGCACCCAGGCGGCTCGGAGAGGGTGAGAGGTGGCCGCAGTTGGGGTTGGCATGTGATCGCATGGTGTTCGGGCACTGCCGGATCACAGGTTGGTTGAGCATGTGGCTGGTCACAGAAGCTGCCTTCCTCCCGGTCAGGCCCTTGAGAAGTGGAGCCTCAACAGCAGCAAGCGACAGTTGCAATGCAGCTGACGCTCCGCTGCGTCGCTGCCAGAGGGACTGCCTGGAGGCTTGTGCGAAGGGCGCGCGGGTCATCGAGATGGCGTGCGGCACTGGGAAGACCAGGGTTATCAAAGAGCTGGTCGGCAGCATCTCGGGCAGGGTGCCGTGGCTCGCGATTTCGGGTTGAGTTGGTTTGCGGGCTCATGGGCTGAAATGAAAAGGGCACACCTATCGATACCTTTGATTTGGTGGACGTTGGGAGATGTCAGGTGAGTTTGTCATTGCTCCAAAGTCCCTGATAACGTTTGTCTTCCCCATTTTGCATCTCAGGTCCTGATCACTGTGCCGCTGCGTGCCCTCCTGGATCAGTTTGCGCAGGATTTCCCCGAGTTCTGCAAAGTTGGGACTGGCTACAACGCGGGCATCGACTACAATGCCAAGGGGTTTCTAGCTGTGACGGACTCGGTTCCCCTGCTTGCGCACCTTGAGTTTGACGCCGTCTTTGTTGACGAAGCCCATCACCCACTACCAAAAGCATGTCCGAAGACGGTTTTGCTGTATCGCTTTTCTGCCACTCATCAAGATGAGCCAGATTTCCGCTACAGCATGGGACAAGCGATGGAGGATGCCGTTCTTTGCGACTATGACCTCACGGTGCCCCTTGTGACGCCTCTGCATGGCCATACTTACCTGAGCTTGGCGGACCTCCTACTGAAGCAAGCTGGGCGCTTCAGGCGGGTCCTGGCTTACTGCAACTCCATCCGTGAAGCGAGGAACTTTCGAATGGTGCTGCAGAAACTCGGCTTGGCGGCTTGGCACATGAACGGCCTTACCAAGCCCAAGAAGCGACAAGAGATCCTTGACCAGTTCGCCGGTACATTGCAAAAGCCAGTCCACGTGCTGCTGACGGTTGAAGTGCTTGGTGAAGGTATCAATATCCCCAATGCAGACACCTGCATGTTTGTGGAACCGCGGAGTAGTTATAGAAGCATTGTGCAGGCGATTGGTCGGGTGTTGCGGCCACATCCCACCAAGCCACTTGCACACATCATTCTGCCAGGAGTGTTGATGCCAACCAAGGGCCAGAAGGTGAGCCAGCCAGCGATGCACCCCACAGCTGGGTTGTTTGATGGGGACAAAGCACTGGTCTCGCACAAGGGCATCGCTGCAAGCCCTGTGGACAAACATGATCAGGAAGCAGCATTGCCAGATCCAGTCCGCGAGGATGCCGAGCTTCTTTTGCGTTTTGGTGGTGACGCAGTGGAAGGAGGCAAGCCACATTGCGTCCAGGCCAGAAAAAATGCTGGCGCACACCACTTGGCACAACGGGAAAGGCGAGATTTCCACGAAACAGACCTGAATTGTGATCAATCTTTACCATCACGCGACATGGCTGGGAGCGAAACGAGCAGCACAGCCCATCGCAGGAAGTCGAATGGCCGACGTGAAAGTGTTGGCGGCGTTGCAGGATCAGTGCTAACTCTGGATCATCATGACGGACGTAGGATGCCTGGGGGGGCTATTGCGCCCAAACCAATGTATCAAACGTCTTGCGACGACGGACTGACAGCAACAAAACACGTAGTTCCCACACACGCTCATGGCCCCCTGAGGGCAATCCGAGAAGCTGGAGATGTGGAGGTCATGCGCAACAAGCAGGTGGCAGCAGGGGGTCCAACAGCAGACCGAACGGGTTCTATGGCAAATGGAGTTGGCTTGGACCCACGACGTGCTGCAGGTCTGGGTGCGGGTCTCTGTGCAGGCAATCAAGGTGACAGTCCTGCATCCCCGCCATTCGTGCCAAGGGACGGCGGCAGCCCACAGATTCGAACTCAAAGAGCCGAGCTGAAAGTAAGCAAGGGGAATGAGCATCCCCGGCGTGGCATGCAAATGCGAACAACAGCAGATGGACACGAGATGACTTTTGGCAGCGAGTTGCAGCGGTTTCTGGCATGCCTGACACAGGCGGACTATCGGTTGGCTGGACTGGGGGAGAAGCCCCAACATCGCATTCAGATCGCTGATTGCACGACTTTTAGTCAGAGTCATTTGGGCATGGCTGGGGCCACTCGGGCTGTATATGCTGAGCTTGCAGCAGTGCTGCTCTACAGAGATCCGTGGGAGTTGCGCTTTGGAGACCTGGAGCGGTTTGTCAAAAGGAATGGGAGGCTGCCTTCGCAGTTGGCCAGCCACATGGAGGAAAAGTCGCTGGGCATTTGGCGGAAAAATCAGGCAAGAAAAGACTGTGCAAACCGCATGCCGCCACACCGGCTCCACAAATTCCTCAACACGTCAGTGACTCTGATTCGAGCGTGGGCCAAAGGGTTGTTTGACCCGAAAAACTTTGTACGACAGAGATGCAAGGCTTTGCGAGCAAATATTTTGGCACGTGGTGCTTTGCCCAGGCTCAAAAGCCGCAACTCTGAAAGCCGGGGACTCGCCAAATGGCTATACAACAGCTGCCGGAGAGGTATCGCATTAGCAGACTGGAAATGGAAGATGCTGGAGGAAGTTCATCCTTTGGTAAAGGCAAAGCTGCATTCCTGGAAAAACACTACCATTCGGATCAAGTCTCCCGCGTGGCATGAGCGGTTGCATGAGCTGTCGGACTTTGTTTCGAGGAATGACCGGTTGCCCAGTGGTGGGAGCCTTCGGAACTGGATTGTCCGTCAGCGAAACTATCTTCAGCGCGGAGTGCTGCCGTCCGAGTTCGTACTTCAACTCAAGGGATCGCACCGGCTCATTTCAAGCTATGTGCAGGCACCTTCGCGCAAGGCGCGGGGTGTGTAGCTAGCATGTTTTGCTCGTTCCTGCCACATGCTGCACCGGACGTTGGCTTGAATGGCAGCAACACTGGCAATATTCAGGCGGAATTTAGCACCCACTTAGCCTCCAGAAGAGGTTCTCAGAGCCCTTCCAGGAATCCCCTCATGGCCTTTGCCTGAAGCTGAGGGGCCAGGGCCCATTGGAAGTGCTACTGTTAGCCGCGCTGCGTCGGGTGGGGCAGCATGTGAGGCTACCCGCGGCTGCCTGTGGTGCTGCTCCTGTGCGGCGGCTTGGCCTGGTAAGTGTAGAGGGTGTGGAGAACAGGTGGTCTGATTGCATTGGCGTTGTCATGACGCCCAAGCAAGCTTCAAACGGAGGGCAGGCAGAAATCAAGCCACATGTGCTGTGATTGTGATTGATGTTGGGAGGGCCATGTTCCTTGCTTGGAGCGAGGGCCTCAGTTCAAACAGCCCAAGGTCACAGCAGGCAACTGTATCGCGGGCAGCACCGCTGCTGCTTGGCGGCAATTGTTTCTTTGGGTGACGTGCTTGAGCTTTTGCGGGTTTACACTTTGTCATGGTAAGCTCGGGGGCCTTTTGATGCGTGTTGCTCACAAAGCGGCAGCTCGCGGCAGCTCGCGCGTCTTCGTTCCAGGTCGTCGGGGATGGAACTCAGCGACAATTTGCTGCCAGTTGACCCTGAGCACCTTGTCAGCATCAGGAGAATGACTGAAGGCAGACATGCACTCGACACCGTTGAGCGTTGCACGTGTTCATCTCAACTGCTGCCGCAATTGCATCAAGTTGCTTGCCTTTGTTTGGTCCTTTAGCCCTAGGGTGTGGGCATTCCTTAGCTTTCGGATGTGGTTGAGTATTCTACCAAGGCCGCAGGAGAAATCGCCCGCAGCCACGCCGCAGGGTGGGCCTATACCCTCCTGGGTCTATGAAGGCTCGGTGGCAGGTTCACTCACTGTATTTATGACGGGCTGCTGAGTAGAGAGTGGTCACGAGTTCCTTCGAGTTTCCCCTGGAACAGTTTCTTCAGATGCTACAGTGTCGTCTTCAAAATCATGCCCATGAACATTCACAGTCAGCTGTGGAGCTGTCCTTTCAGCTGTGCCGCACCCATCGGGCTTCTAGCAGGATTTGGCCGGTCAGTCTCCTACAGCCCCACTTCTTCCGAGCAAGTGTGCCGTCTTTACACAGGACGCATCCTCCCGCCTGTTAATCCTTCATGCCAAAGGCTTAGTACGAAGCACTCCCACCAAACCAGTCCCTCCACCCTTTCCCTTGTTATTTTCTTCAGTCGTTTTGTCTGTACCTTTTGCAGGTTTTTCTTGAAGTTTACTTTACTCGCCCTTTTCAGGGTTCGCCACTAAAAACAGAATTAAATTCCCCCAGAAAGCTATGTTCCCTGGGGATCTCCTCGTGCCCCACCCCGCAGGCAGCGCCTCACCGCCGGGCCGCGACATCGCGCGGCCGCCCGTGACGGCGGCCGGGAGCTGCGGCGCGGCCAGGAGTAGGATCAGTTCAGTGGTTTTGGCAATTAATGTTCGCGTTGCCCACCTGTGCCAGTTTCTCGCTTGTTGGTGTGCTCGTGCCTTTTGGTAGGCCATGTGTTGAATCCTGTGAAAGCATGCAGAAGGGTATCTTGGGGGAAGACAAGTGGCACAACAGGATATCGGCAATCACGGTGTCGGCTTCTTCTAGTTGCAACACTTGCCCCTTGAAACGTGGGGGCTTCCAACCAGCGCGACTGCCGGCCCAAGCCTCGCACCTTGTGATTGGTTTCTTTGCTTCCTGGCCGGCAAAGGTGGGGGCCTGTCACGTGTTTTACCGTCAGACGTCGTGGCAGGCAATGCCAGCCGCAGCGCCCCGGCGGTGGGCCGGGGCACCCTGGCGGTGGGCCACGGCGCGGGAGCCGCGGCGCCTCTGCCCATGGACGAGTTGCAGCACCTGCTCACAATGCAGGACGGCGGCTGCTCAGACATTGGGGCGCTGGATTGGAGCTAGGGCACTCGGGGAAAATATGGCTGCGGGTCAAAACCCATGGTAATTACCATTTTGGGATAGGTGCACTTACCCATTTTAAGTCTATTTTAGTGGGGATTGGGATGTTCACTGGGGGTACCTGATTTTGACCCATGGCCATATGGCAGTGGTCCCTTCTTAGCGTTTCCTTTTTTTCAACCGCATTCTTGATTCTTGAGGCTGGCCCCATGCGTGGCTTCACTTGAGCCAACATCTTCCCTTGATTAAATTTGAAGGGATGCCGCGAGCTGCTCAACTCGGCTGGGCTCAGAAGCATCTCTTCAACAGCGCATGTGCTGCAGGAGCAGCAGTTGCAGCGCTGCTTGGCAACACACGGGCCTTCATGTGTGCACGGGCTGGAACGCGCACGGTTTGAATTAGATTTCGCCGTTAAAGAATTGTTGTCAAAAAGTCTCCAAATAGGATTGGAGCCCTGTCCTACTGGAAGGCAAAAAACGCTGACCGTGATTTCAGGGTGCGTTTTACCTTGCGTGCCATCGGGCGTGTCACATGTTCATTGGGCCTCGGTTTTTCCCATAGTTGGGCTTTTGGCTCACTCGCTGGAAAGTTTTGGGGCTGAGTCGCCTCGTGCTGCTCCACGTGTGTGGTGCCGCAGCTTCAGGCCAAGTGCAGCTGCAGGAGCAGCAGTGCCAGCTGCAAGAGATGCAGCTGCGGCAGCAGGAGTCTGATTGGAACCTGGAAGGGTGCCTGCTGGGTGGGCATAAGTACCTTTTAGGACAGTTTGGCCGAACCTAGAAGGCACTGTGTTGAGTTTGGTTCTACTGCAATCAGCCGCCCGCGATGGGCTTGGGCCGTGCAATGCTCTGTCTGGGTGAGGGGGTCCTCCCGAATGATCCTGCACCTCTTGGTGGGGCCATGGTGCTGATGTGTTTCAGGGGGTTGCTTCAAACTGTCCATCCTCTCACCCACGAAGATGGAATGGAAACTGGCTGAGGAGTTTGGAAGACCATCTTCCTCTGAAAGGGATTTCTGATTGGTTCGGGGCCTGACGCTGCAGGAGCAGCAGCTGCACCTGCGACAGCAAGAGGAGCAGCAGAAGCAGCGGGCGCAGGAGATGCGCTCCTCGGATTTGGCTCGGCGGGTGGGTGTGGTGCACCTCCCGGGTTGTCGTGCAATGTTTTGTATATTGTTTGACCAGCAGACGGGCTGGGCGCATGCAGAGGTCATGCGGCTGAGAAGAGCTTGAATGGGCGGGCGAAAGGTTGGCGTTTTCCTTTGCTTTCACGACGTGTTTTCACTTGTTCTTTGCCTTGCTCCCAGGTGAGCAGCTGCGGTTCATGGAAGAGCAGCAGAGGCAGCTGCAGCAGAGGCAGTGTGGTAGCCAGCTGGTTGGAAGCCGCTAAATTAGATGAATGCCAGCATAGCGCAATGCAGTAGTTGCTTGCTTGTGGTCATGGGGCCATTTCGCACTGACTTGCCGGGACGCGCCAAGTTCGACTTGGGTTCAGCAAGCGAAAGAAAACCTTGACAGCGCTTTGACCGTAATCTCACCCGTGCATGAAAACGCCACGGCGCCGGCTGTTTGTTTCAGACAGGTTCCCCACATTTAACCCCTCCAACGGTGGTTTAAAACATCAACGGCCGACAAGCAGACTGGGGGTGAGTTGCCTTTAAGTGGGGTGCTTCTTTGTTGGAAGAAAGGGGGCCCGGTGGAGCCAGCGCGAGCCCTACTCCGGCCTTCAACGCAGCCAGGCCACCAGCCCCAGTGCCGGCGCCCACGCCGCTGCTGGCTGCGCCAGGTCAGCTGCCGCCGCCCGGCGTGATAGCAAAGCTGCAGGCTGCAGGTACCCAAAATATGAATATGTGTTATTGTAGCCTATCCCATTGATTTCTGCATTAAGTAGAGCCTCACAGATCTGCATTTGCAGGGGTTTGTGTCCCTCCTTTGATTCACCAGGGGCTATGGGTTATTCAGCTGGCAGCGTTCTGCTCCGGAGCTTGTAACGCAGCGTGTGCGACATGACTCTTGCAGTGCATGCAGCCTGAAGGCTTGTTGCAACGCGAGGTGCGCCCAAAATATTTGGAGCCTCCATCTGGAAGGGTGGGGGACTCACCAGATTTCCCCACAAAGACGGAGGGACACTTTAAGTTTTCCATGTCCATCACGGGAACTGCATTTCTGACCATGGCTTCTGTAGGCGGTCGGCTGAAAAGTGTCAAGTGTCAAGTGAAGCGTCGAGTCACATGCGCACCGCTCAGGTTGCAGGAGCAGCAGCATCAGCAGGCAATTCCGGGCTGTGATAGGGTGTAGCCCTTGGTGACTTGACAGATTGCCGCCCTTCCGCGCTGCAACCCGTGACGCTTGTTAAAGACACGGCAGCTTTCTGGGATCAACACGGCTTTGATCTGACGACAGGTCTGCAAGCTTAGGCGTCAAACGGTTGCATTCTGAGACCTGATGGCGGCAGTGGCTACTCCACAGTGTTTATTTTGGCCCAATGGCTTGGCCATTTTGACATGGTAAAAGAGCAAACAAGCAACTGAGAAGTTTGAAGTTTCTAAGCAGGCAATCCAAAGGCGCCTGGATGCAGGACCTTCTGAGCCACATCCTGCTGCTGCACCAGTCCTCCCATCTGCAGCAGTTGCGGCAGGTGCAATCAGAGCACCTTGATTGAGTTGCTGGGTGATTTAGCTGTTGCAACCATGGACATCTGGATGGAATCCAATGAACTCTCACTTGGGCCGGGCGGCTCGGAGTGCCAAGTTGTGTGGGCTTTCTGAGGATGGGTGCAGTGGGATGTTGAGGGGGAAGGCTGAACATGGGAGCTTGCCCATGGGCCGACGGCGTGTTGCTTCAGCCCGACCTCTGTGTAAGTGGGTTAAAACGAAAGTTACCCGTGGAACATCAGAGCTTTTCAGACCCATGTCACCACGGCTTTCGCCTACTTACCCACTTGCTCGGAGTGGATGGACCGTCCAAGTGGCTGAGGCAGGAGCGGCAGCTGCGGGAGCTGCAGCAGCTGCAGCAGCCTTGGCTCTCCCCGAGCTCCAGGGGCAACCGGCCGCCCGGAGGCAAACTGGACGTTCCTTGCTACCCCGCCACAAGGAAGCTTATGTAAAAAGTGGCCCAAAAGGTCATGCTGAAACCACACAAAAAGAGGAGAGCCCCCACAAATGAGGCGCTCTCCACTCTTTGAGTGGGGTTTTGTTCCCAGAGCGGGCCTTTTGCAGCTTCCTTAAGGTTCGCTTGCGGGTCTTCTCTGGCCAGCGGCGCTCTGCTTGCTATCTGAGGCGCCCTGCGCCCTCACCTGGCCTGCGGGAGGCGGAAGCCTTCGTGTCCTCCGTGAGGCGGCGGGGGAAGTGCTGCGAGCGCGCTGGGTTGTGTACTTGGTGATGTGACGCTGGTCGGAAGGAAAGTGGGCGATTAGAAGCTCCGATTCAAACTAGTCTCTGTGGGCCGCAAAAGAACAGTATTTCAAGAGTTGAGCTTCTGTTTTCAGAAATTTTGGCAAGGCAATGAGGTGCCCGAGTGGCTGGTTGGCAATTCTTCCAAGTTCAGCCAAGCAAGAAGCAGGTTCCCGATGCTTTGGAGAAACGTCCAGGTACGTAGAGGTAAAGAGGGAAATTGCTCGCCCGGAGGCGCCGCGCACCTACTCGCTCAAGCGCAACGGAACAGGACGGCGCCCGCGCGGTTGCAGACGCCATGAGCTTGAAGAAACCAAATTCTGGAAGAGGTGGGGAGGTGATTAGAACCTCGTGATTCGCACCTTTTTTGGGGGTGGGGGAACGGAGCCATGGTGATGGAACTTGAGAATTCGGTGTTTTTTTTTTGTTTTTGGTTGCGTTGCTGCACTTCTGACGCTGTGATTGCAGGACCTGACCCGGCGGCATGCGGACGCGAGCCCGCGGCAGGCGGACGCGAGCCCGCGGCAGGCGGACGCGAGCCCGCGGCAGGCGGACGCGAGCCCGCGAGAGGCGGCGGCTGGAGACGTGGCGCCGGCGCCCCAGAGCCCGGAGCCGGACCCGTGGCAGGGCCGGTGGCGGCAGCACCAGCAGCAGCCGCTCGGAAGAAGCTGCCGCGCAGATGGGGGTGGTGGTTTGTTCAAGATGGGGAGATGTGTGGCTGATGTGTGGGTTTTTCAGAGGGGGTTTGGTGTTTAAAGAAAATATAGGGGGAGGAGGTTGACTCCCCTTCTGCGTGACCTTGGCAGAGCCATGGCTTTTGGGGCCGTTGTATGGCAAGAGTTTAACATGGATGCTCTGCTTCCTGTGTGGTCCATGAGCTGGTGCCATTCTTCAAGGGACACCACCACCCAAACGGACTTTCAAGAAGCACCCTCAATGTTCATTACAAGGGACCTCCAGTTTCTAGAGCACCCCTGCAAACTCACATGACAAACAGTCCCCCCCGATTCGTGTACAAACGGCAGTGGTGGGTTCGGTGTTGCCCAGTGCAGCAGTTGAGGCCTCCTTCGGAGTTTATGGCCTCGGAGACCTCGCGCTCGCCGCGGTCCAAGGCGGGTGGCCGGCGGTGGTGAATCTCCCTATATATCGGTTGTTTTTCACTGGATGCGAACAGGAAACCACCTTTCATGTTGGGAGGTCCCCCAGTTTGTGATTCCCCTGGCGCAGCCTGATTTGTCAGTGGCCTTGTTGAGGATTCTGCCGCCACTTTTCGACTCACTCGTTTATTTCGCAGGATTTACAACCCGTTTTAACAGACAGTCGTCCGGCGGCATTTCTTTTGCGCAAGCTACAGCCGAGCTCTTTCTGGAGCTACCCCTTCAGCTTGCGCGCCTTTCGTGCCGAGCGGCTCCTGGCTGCCTGTGGTTGGTTCGGTGCTCCAACGCCCGCGTTGGTTGGGCGCTGACAGGCGCCCACTTCTGTGGCGTCGCCTGCGCCGAGTCGTGGCAGCCGGGCCCTCGGTGGGAAAGGACCCAAGGCCGTGTGAAGACATAAGAGCGCCTGCCAATTGGAATCAATACAGTGGACGGGCAAAATCCAGCTAGTTGGGATGGATGAAACCCTATGATTCGTGGGATAAACCACCTGGTGCAGGATTTTGATCATTGTTTGCAGCGCTGCTGATGTTTGCAACGCCATGTCCACATTTTACATGGGAGCTAAACTTTCATCCTTCCCACAGTATACAAAGAATTAACGGCATCATTCATCAAACGAGCATGGACGAACCCGCTGAATTCGAATGTTGGACATCCTCTTTCACATTCAGATGGTTTGTGAATGTTTTTCTCAAGTGCAACTAACAAACAACCAACATTTGTTCTTCTTGGAGCCTTGGCAGGAATCAGCCCAGCCTCCAGGCCAATTTGTATCCAATGTACTCCTCCCGTCGTTTTGTTTTAGGCCCTGTCTGTGGGCTTTAACGGGGCGAAAAGGACAGCCGCAATTTTGGGGGCGAGACACCCAACTGTAGGTCCACCAGACAAATTTCCGGCGGGCACTCCGCACCAGCGCCCACTCCGCGCTGCGAAGCGCGAGGCGTGCGCCTGCAGCAGGACAAGGAGGCCATCGAGCGGCGCCTGCGCGAGCTCGAGGGGCCGCTGGTCTTGGGGTGGGTGGGTGGTGGGGTGGGTGGGTGGGTGGGTGGTGGCCGATGAGGTTCTTTGATGTGGAAGGGTTCTTGGAAAGACTTTTGGTGGTGTCCCTTTGAGCATGTGGGGGGAGTTTTTCAGGATTCAACGTTGATGGACCCAGAGGATTGGCTTTAGGATGGCTGAGTGGGGTTGGGCGTTTGTTTTCCAGTGCCAATTATTTCGTACTGGGGCGTGCAGTGCTAGGCGCTTGTGAGTTTGAAAGGGGCGTTTGCTGGGTGAACTTCAACCCGTCGCGTGTGTGCGTGCGCACACGCTTGCCGTTATCCTGCTTTGGCCCAAGCATACAGAGAAGAGAGGCGCCACTTCTATGGAACCCCACCATAGCTCGGATAAGTTTGCCTGGCAGCCAGCAGTTCCCAGAATTATTCGCAACCCAACAGCAAACATCCAGCCTCGCAGGTCAGTGTTGAAGCCCAGCAGGCCAGACAGCCAAACAGCTGCGCTTGCATCAAGACATTTGCCCCCACATGGCGCCTTTCAACCAGGGTTGGGCCCAGACCCTGTTCAAAACTTAAGCTCACTTGTTTCAACTGTATCCTTTGATTCTCGGGTGCCAGGGCACAGTAGTTCGAGCAAACATTTGCCCAACCCTGGTGCGACCCCCACAAGAGAAGCTGCGGGCAAAGCCCCGCCGCGCGGAGCGCGGAGCGCTGAGCGCCGCTCCGCGCACATGGGCAATCAAGAATGCTCAGTGAAGCAGGCGCTAAGGGTTCGGATCGCCGCCGGTATAAAAAGCACTCCTGGTTTGCTCATAGCATCTGCTGCTTTTTCCGCCTGGCCAGCGCCTCTCCTCCACACACCTCGTCCGCCAGGCGCCGTGCTTCGACTCCGCGCGCGCGGTGGGCTCCCAAGATGTGGGCTCCGCGCTGCACGTGGCGCCCGAGGCGGAGCCCATGGAGGCCGCGCAGGCGGCCCATCCGCACAGTGGTTTCTGTTTAGGGGGGGTGCCCTCAAAAGGGACGACATGGATGTGTCTCCTCTCCTCCCTTTGTGTGGTTGGAGGGAAGCCAACAGGAAAACCGAAGCCCGCTCCGGGTGGGGGGGGGGGGGGGGGGTAAGGCACCCCCCTTGCGACTCCATCGCGCCTGGCCAGGTGCCCTCTCGGAGCCTGGCCGTAGAGGCGATAAGCGCCCGAAGAGACCCGCCGCAGGAGGCACGGGGAGAGAGGGTGTGGTGTTCAGCGGATTCCACCCTTCACATCCTGTTTTTCTTTGGTTCTGTTTGCTTTGGTTGGGTGGTTCCGGCCACGCGAAACTTGGTGCCCTGTTCTACCTCTACCAGGGTCACCTGGGCAACTGCGCATGATTTTGGATGTTCAAGGTTCGCTAAGTATGGACCAGCATTGCCGGCAAAGCTGAGGTTTGGGCGGGTGGGCTGTTGGGACCTGGAGATGCTTTCGTCGGGGGGTGAGTTTGCCGAAGCCGCCCCGGCAAGCGGCGCTCTGAAAAGCGAGGGTATGGGCTACAGGGCTTCTACAGTCCGATTGCGGGCGCTTGACCGTTCTTGGTTCATGTGTTCTCAGTTCCTTTCTGATTCTTTGGTTCTGTTCAGGATCGGTGAATTTGCGCGCATACAACACACACAGGTTTGAAGGTTTCCTCCAGTGCAAGGACGAGTGGAGCGTTCAAACCACCTGTTGGCCAACTGAATGGTTTCTGTCCCTACTTTTGGGGGCTGTATCGAGGGCTCCCAGGAGCCATACGGAACACAACCCTAGATCCAACCTCAAACACACCCGAACTCATTCAGAATCGCCGTGGAAAAAAACCTCGTGTTATGCCGTTGGGAAACACAGCTTGCGTTGTGGCTGTGTTTCTGTGCCATTTTTTTGCCAGGACTGCCTCCTTTCTTAAGACTGACTCCGGTATAGACGGATTTTGGGCCCCTTGCTGCCAGGCCGAACCTCCGCCGGCCGCGCTTCCCGCAGGCTCGGTCCCTGCAGAGGGGCGGATGTTCAACCCGCGTCAGCAGGTTGCAACCGGTTTCATGGAAGGGACAGCCGCATGTTTTGGGTGGACACCCCCTGTAGAATGGAATGTATTGTTGGTTTGCGGATTTTGTGCCAGTGGCCAGCATCTCTGGCGGGATGTGAGCAGGAGATGGATGGCGCGATTTTACACCACAGATGGGGGAGCAGCCTTTGGTTAGACCTGGGAGGCTGTACGCCCCCTTAAGGCTGACAAAAGCCCGCGCAAGGGCCTCCAGGTGGCATGCCAGAGGCCAGCCCAGTATTGGAGCCCCACTGATAGCGAGCGCTCCGAAAACGGCCGATTATTAGGGCTCACTTTTTGGGGGACCACCCCCGCAGAATCCAGGTGGACTACCCTGGGCCGACATCATTGTATACTCCAAGAAGGCTTATTCTGGGGTCTCCTCCAAAACTATTGTATCATTTAGATCCCCCTGTGCATTCCCACCCTGGAAGCTTCGGACTCTCAGATCGTTGTCTGAATGGAACCTGACAGGGGGGTCCTTTTTTCCTTTGGACCCTTTGTCAGGTTCCATGTTGGGAGGGTATGGTCCGTGTGCCCCAAATGGCGAAGTACCTGTCACTCCGCAGTCCCACCGCCGGCCACCGTGGACACGGTGGACTGGGGCCATCTGCCTGACACGCAGCTTGGCTATGCAGCTTGCGGCTGGGCTCGTTTCCTTTTGGCTTCCCTTTTAAAGCCAACCAAAGGAGGGGGGCACCCTCAAAAAAGAAACGCACCTAGGCTGCGTTGGGGTTATGGTGGACACCTAGGGTCAATTTTGCGGTGCTGGTTTCAGGGTTTGGTGGGGGAGGGGGTGGAGGTCTTGGGGCCGATGGGTGCATTCCTGGCCCAGCCTGTCGGGCTCGTACTTGCTGTGCGCAAATACGGGCCCCTCAACGGCGCCCTGTGCAAGAAGATAGTCAAGGACTTCTGGTGTGACAAGAGTCTACTTAATTGACTTGAGGGGAGCTGCGCAGCTGGCCGTTTTGGGCTTTCTTTCATCCAAGAAATCCCCGGGATTTGGGACCTGGGTGTTGTCAATAGTTAGGGGCGCCCCTGGCATAGAGGAACAGCGGCGGGTGCATACTTGGGAGCTATAAACAATACACGCGCAGATGCACTTAGAGTCACAGAAGCCAGCTTCAGGAATTTGGTTCAGGAAGGCAGCTAGGCAAGAATACCCACCGAAACCAAAGCTTTCCCGAAAATATCCCGTGGAACTTTCCTGTAGCTTCCTCACTCACCACATCCAATCTGTGCTGGAACCACTGGGCCTCACTCAGATACTTCGACTGCGAGCTGGGGGAGTCGCCAGTGCTGGAGGACTGGCGTTGCGGCCATGGGGCGCGCACGCGTGTGCGCGCGCGCGTGTGCATGGCCCGGTTTGTCACCGGTTCCTTTGTGGTTGTCCAGTTTTCAAGACGGGAGTGTCCGTAAATGGAGGGAGAGTTTTTTATTCCCGTAGTGGGGGCCCCTTGGACATTTCTTTGAGGTAGCACTTACAACCGAGCGTTTTGGCCTTTTGGTTTTCAATTTTGGTTCATTTTTAGTCAAGGTTCCAGAAGGTTTGGGCAACTGCGGTCATGTTGAAAGCATCTCAGGGGGGTTTTCAGTCCTTCACAGCGATTCTTTCGGAGGACGACACCCTGCCGCAGCGTTTCAGGCGCAGGGTTGCAATGGGCAGGTTGCGTTCAGGGTAGGCGGCAAGCACTGTGGGTCTCCTTTTTGAGCTGGTTTTCTCTATGTTCCCTTTTAAACCCCAGCCAAAAGAGGCTTTCTTTTTTCAGAAGCAGCTTTTCCGTTGGACCTAGTTAGTGTATGCGAAAAGCTCCGGCTTTCCCATTTTCCCTTGGCAGCTTGCCTCCTTCGCGCGCGAGCCTTTCCGTTTGCGGCCCGACAAAACACCTCGGCGTGCGCCGGCCACGTTGGCGGGAGGTACGAGTTCCAATCCGGGGCCATCTACGATGGCGACTGGCTGCATGGCAACCGCCACGGCGTGGGGAAGCAGGCGGCAGGGGCCTTCGGCTGCTGGAGTGCTGGTTGTCTTGGTGGGTGCCCTTGCCATCCCCTTGGGCAGGTTTTTTTAGGGTTTAGTGGTAATTTTCCACGAAACCATGACCAGGGTGAAAGTAGATGGCACCACTTGGTCATCATCTTTACTTCCCCACAGAACAAGGGCATTGTGCCATCTACTGCTCGATGAACTTACAATTCGAAGGGACACCGAGCTGGGCCCCAATGATGAAGGCCCCTTGCTTGGGATTTCGTTAATGCGGGTTGGTGAATAGTAGTCATTTGTCATTGGTGGAAAGTGTTTGAGATTTGTTGCTGTCCATGGTGGCTAGATGAAAGGGGCTTCCTTAAAGCAGACTCCCCCCCCTTTCCCACTAGCCTGGCGTGCGTGTTCTTCGCAGATCTGGCCGGACGGCACGGAGTACTTCGGGCAGTGGCTCAGCGGCAAGGCCAACGGCCTGGGCCACATCAAGCACAGCGACGGGGACTCCTACGACGGGGAGTGGGTCAACGGCCGGGCCCACGGCGTGGGGGTCTACCGCTTCCAGGCAGGAAGAAGGAAAAAGGGAGAGGGAGGGGGGGGGAGGGGGTTGGATGTACAGGTGTGGTTTTAGGTGAGTTTGGTGACGATTGTTGCTTCTCATCCTCTGCCCGTTGCCCCTGTCAGGGCCTGGCAGGTATGGGCTGCAGAGGTGGTTCGACGCAGTTTCCTGGCGAATTGCCCTGGTGGGAAGAGGATTATGGAACGATGTATCTGCCTTTGTCACTGTAGTGTAAGAGGACTTAAAGAGAACTTAACAGGGGGAAAAACAGCTAGGAGGCACGCACAATACGCATCCGGCAGGTTTTCCGGAGGAGGAGGAGGAAGTGCGAGGGTTCGTTGGCCTTTTTAGCGCGTGTCTCGCGAATGCGTGTCAAAGATAGAAAACCACTGTCATGCAGATATGTTGTTCCAA